CGCCCCCCCCCCCCCCCCCCCCCCGGGGTCTGTTGCATCTCTCTTTGAATACTATATTTTTAGCTGATCATTTTTTTCTAAAAAGTCCATATCTTCCTACCTTTCTCCCTGAACTTCTTTGTGCTTTGGGACCTCTGATTTAGGTTTTTTTTTAGGACAAGCATGTAGAAATGGGTAGGAGAAGCTGGGATTGTTTTCTGTCACAATTCAGTGGCAAATTTTGCCAAACTCTAAGCTTTAATTGTCTTTACAGGATATGTTTTGCAGGTAAATCAGCTGCTGGACCTCTCAAAAATTAATATTGTTGGCGGAAGCCTTCAATTAATATGGACTTAAAGAAGACTAAAGTCATGCAGCAGGTAGAACAACCAGTCTTAGAACTGGCAATGAATATATTGGTTGAAATCTTCTGCCCTTTAGGATCATCCATCAGCAACTAGCATTTGGTAAAGCAGTCATGAAGGCCTTGGAAAAGATATTCAGATTCCATGATGTATCTATACCTATAAAGATCAGAACTGTGCAGGCAATGGTTTTCCTGTGGTTTTCCATGCTTTGGAAGCAAATGCTGGCCTTTCAAGAAACAGGATAGAAAGAGTATTGATGTGTTTGAATTTTGGTATTGGAGAAAACTCCTGAGAATACCATGGTTAGCCAAGAAAACAAAAAATGGAACAAATCAATCCAGAGTTTGAGGCACAAATGACCACACTCAAATTGTCATATTTTGGACATATTATGCAAAGACCTAGCTCTCTGGAAAAGGCTGTAATGCTGTGAAAGGTGGAAGGAAGGAGAAGAGGAGGACGACCAGCAACAAGGTGGATAGACTCAGTTACATGCCTGTCCTGGTCTTTCACTAGCCATTAGCAAACAGGACTCAGAGGATACTAATAAACAAAGAATCAAAGCCCTAGATCAGGGGACCTAAACATTTTTAAAACATTCTTTTAAAAATATGTTTACATTTTTAACTCACATTTCCACCAAACAGTGCTCAAGGTACCTAAAAGAAATAATAGAAATGCAACATAGAAATATAATTGACAAAACAGCAATAGATTAAAAATGGTAAATGAAAAATATGGAGAAAATATAAATGTAATTGATGCAAATAAGCAGAAAAAAACAATTACAATGTTTTATAAGTCTGTTTGTAGATTAAAAGCCTGTTTCTCTATTGACATATATTCAAACAGAGCATAGAGGATGCAGACAGAATACATTTGAGACATCCACCAGAAAGCACCATAGACATATACACCACCTGTTTTTTCCTGCTGGCATGCTTCTCCCCACCCCTTTCATCTTTGTAATCAGCAATGTCTCTCTGCTATATCTTTACTAACTTGGTTCCATCCATCCCATCATTCTTTCTTCTGAGTAGACATCTATCTTTTGAAAAGACATCTGTTCAGACAACTGAATTGCCTGGACATTGTATCCAATTAAACTCATAGGATTGTGTTGTTACTTTATGATATCACAAAGATTGTTAGTTTCACCACAACCATTTCTGAGGACGAACCTTTGGAAGCTTAAATGATCATGAAGAAGTCATCTAAGTCAACAGGTTCAAAATACAGTAGATCAAATATTTGCTAATCAAATATGTGGGGAATGACAGGGTTGAGTTTTACAGTATTACCATATACATGACTATTCAGATGTTAAGTCCCACTGGATTCAGTTTGTTTTTTTAGGCAAATATGTATGGAACTGCAGATTTCATATGTGTCATTTATACATATGGATATTTTTTGCAGTTTTACAGTGAGATTAAAAAAAGCTTTGGTTCTATCAGCTACATTTCCTAGACTGCTCTGCTGCTCATCTCCTTACTACGCTGTCTCTGCCCTGTTATCTGGAACTTCATGTTCTTGACCATTATTTCCATCTTAAAATCAGGTAATTAAAATCAGCAAACATTGTATGCCTCCACACTTCTGCCTCTGACAGACTCTTCTTTGTTTTAAAATACAAAGATGCGTACGCATGCATGCTGGTTGTGAACTGAAATACAATGTGTGACTTAAAAGTGACATGTGCCTTGAAGCAGAATCAGCAAACCCACTCTGATCCTCAAAAATTTGGTCTGAGTCAACAGAGGTTGTGCTCAGCTCCCATCCTATTAAGCCTTAATAGTAGGCTTTGTGGGGTTTACCAGTAGGTTGAGGGAACCCAGCCATTGTCCTTGTAAATCATGGTTTAAGGCTAAGATGTGATGTCTGAGGCCAGCCAACTTTGGTTTATTCAATACATAATGTTAAGGAAGCATGGCTTAGCAATGTGTAAATTCCATCCTGTAAGCATGCATTAAAAAGCTGGTTTGCCAGTAGGAGCTATCATTCTCTTTCTCCACTCCTCTATTCATCCAAAGAATACCACAGTCTTTAGTCTGGGTATTGTCCAAAATTTTGGATTCTGACCAAGAGGCTAGGAATCATCATCATCAGCAGCAGCAGCAGCACCTTGGAAGATGTTATTTATTAATTGAACATTGGGTTATTGTATTTTAACCTGTATTTTAACCACTCTTTACTTTTGCTTTTATTGTAAACCTCCCAGAGTCACTCACTGAGTGAGATGGGAGATGATTAAATTTGAAATATAAATAAAATTATTACTGCTAGAAATAAGCTACCCGCCAAAGTAGGAAGCAATCCCTCGATTCGCCAGTTCCCTCTCTTTAAAGAACTGACTTGGCAAAATTAAAAATAAAAACAGTGAAGAAATTCAGAGGGGGGCGGGGGACACGTGTCCAGCGGGCTCTAAGACCCGACAGAAGAGGGGGATCCGGAGCATGCGTGGCAACGATTTGTGCAGCTGGCGGCTGCCTTTCCATGAGCCGCCACTCAGGGCTTGGCAAGGAGGTGGGAGTTAAGAAATAGTTTGCGAGTGAAGTTCTCGCCTGCCTTTTCCCCTGCCGGAGCTGGAAAGTTCCTGGTTTTAAACGGAACTGTTTGTTCGGATTTGGTGTGCCGTTTCGGAGAAGGACTGGGGGCGTTTGCGCAGCCCATGTGGAGAACCCGGTAGGTTCCTAGACTTTTCGCTCATCATTCTCCCCCTCCGCCCCAACTGTTTACTCAGGAGTAGAAGCTGCGTCGCCAGCCAGCTCCGATTGGCTCTTGAGGCGCGGCTCAGTGCCGATCGCTTTCGGGGTGGTGGTTCTGGCATTGGAGAGGGAATGAAAGGCATGGATTGAGCCAATAGCCGCGGCGGGACTTGAAGAGCAGCATCTCCGGAGAAGGGGGCAGATGGCCAAGTGACCCGACCGAATAACTCGGTTGCCACAGCCCTGCCCTGGTCGGTCACCTTTTACTCGCTTCGCCCCTTTCCACCCCGACTTCTGCAGGCTAGCGGATCCGGGGGTCACACCCTGCACCCTATATAATCTGGAAAGTAAGATAGGTCTTCCTTCCTTCCTTCAAGTGCTCCTTTTTTTTTTTTTTTGGTCACCCCCCTACCCTCAAAATGCCCAATCTGGCCATATCATGAAGGTGGAGAACTACTTTGTCTCGGTCGTGCAACTTTTTCACTGTCCTCTCTTACATGCACTATCAAGGTCGTTAATGAGTAATAAAAGGACAAACTTTTCCCACCCTTCCAAAGCAGGTGTAGTTATTCCGAGCAACGTCTCAGTGCAGAGGTGAAATGGGCACAGGAAAAGTAAAGAGTTACAGGTCTGAGCAAATTAAGCACGAGGTCGAAGGCTGCCATCCAGCATGGGACCTATGAGCGCGTGTCAGTAGTTCACAAATTCCATCACGGTGCCTTTTTTTCCCCTTTACTAGAGAAAAAAAGCATTTGACCTTTGCTGTTTCCTCGCTTTCCCAATCAATT